AGGTAATATGTCTAGAAAGCATCCTTTCTGAAATTTGATAATGATTGCGATAAAGTAAGTGAACACAATTCAATAATTGGGAATATATCTATTCATAATTTTATAAATTTTAATTATAAATAAAATTGTCACAGAAAGACTTTATTTCATTCATTCTATTTATTTAACATAGGTATGTTCGTTACCCTACATTTTTCAAAAAGGGAAGTTGCATTAATTTATTTTTCGTTCAAATAACTTAGAGAGTGGCAAGCCTGCTTTATTAAACTTGGACGTTTCCTTAGGCCAGGCCTGAAAATGCTGCTCTGTGTACAGCAGAGCATTAAAGATATTTCTAAAGGTTTCTCAAGGCATAAATTAATTCCATCTCATTTTATCTGTGCATACAGTATACAATTTCAGATCTTCTAAAGTAGGCACTAGTTATGAGAAGAATAGTTGCTAAAAGGCTCAATTGTTTAAATAAAGTCATGAGAATCCTTGATGTTGCGATAATCCTACTTAGTCGTGTTTCTTAATCAAACACACTGCAATTAATTTTACTAACCGTTAGACTCAACGAAAAACATGGTAACTTTCATAAAATATAGGTGAAAATATTATTTGCTTTGTCAAAATCATATTCTATAAAAAGCATCAACTTTTGGATAGGAAGCGACTTTCTTTATTATTTTATCTAGTTATAATTCTTCCATGGAAGACTATTAATTGCTTGATTTAGTTGATTGCATTTAAATAAATGTAAAGCCCAGTAAACCATGCACCATTTGTCTATGTATTTACCTCTGCACATATCTAGTTTAAGTGCATATAATCAATTAAAACAAGGTCGAACAACTTCCATACAGCGAAAACATACCGCGGACATACTAAAGACTACACCATCTTGGTCTGTATATGTTTAAACAGCAAAAATTTCATAAAATACAAGTGCTGAAATAAGTTGAATATATCTGGTCGTTGTAGTCGAGGGTGAAAATCAGTCTTGCCTACAAATGAAGTTAAGACGAAATCAACTAAGATTAAGTCTCAAAGAAGTTATCGGATGAAAGGCTGAAGAAGTATTCTAGCTGAATAAATAAATTGTACAGCAGAAGTTTGGTGTAATTTAAAATAAGATTCCTGTTTCTTTTTTGACCAGTTGATTTCTATTAATTTTCGAGTATATAAAATTTCGGGCTGATTAGCCAATAGTGATGCCAATTGATACCCTCATGCATGCGACATAAAAGGACATATAAACCTTGACTTTCTAGTGGTTTTGGAATTGTCCTCTGCAACTTGAGGAACAGATATTAGAATACCATAATATATAAACCAAATTTTCTTCTATTATTTGTAAATTCACTCACCCATGAGCATTTCATACAGACTTTCTGGCCTCCTCGCGGTCTTATATGTCAATTGAAAGTGTTTACGGACGTCGGCATAGCGGAAGTAGAACTGAGTAATTGGAGTGTTGCTAAGCCCAAGGGCATTGAGTTCGGCATGCAACACCAGTCGCAAGCCGAGAGGGCCGTCTGTCAGCAGAAGCACCTGGTCCAGCCAACTGTCTTTGTGACGAAGTGACTTAATTCCAATTCCACCTACCCGCCTTTGCTCTGCGCTCTTATCTTTATGCATGGGTAACTCGCTTGCTTCACCTATTTCGCACACAACGGCATTGTTTTCTTCATCTTCTATTTCCTCTGCATGCTCTTCGACGTCCTCGTATTCTTCTTCAACTTCTTGCGTTATCCATGTCTCCTCTTCACAATCCAGATGGGACCACAAACGCTGGTCAGATTCCGATTCTTCAGTCTGATGTACTTTAAGCTCTTCTGCGTGAAAAATGCGGCGAAAGGTTTCAAGACGACTCCGCTTACAGACATGCCACTCCATCCAATCTTTAAGCTAAAAAAGGAAAGTTTTATAAATTTCTGACACAAATAAGGGAAAAAGCATAAAATCAAGCTGAAATTTAATTTGGCACTTTCTATTTGGGAACATTCCAGGTCTTTGGGTAACTACTTCAAATAGATAGAGACTGATATTTTCAGGTCCCAAAACATTACACAATTCAGAAGTAGCTAGTGCATAGTTTAGCACTCTCTTGATAAAATTATTAAGAAAAGTAATTTAGTTGTACTGCTAGATGCATGCCCTATCAATATCTTGACAATTAACTATCGCTTAACTTTCCATAACTTCATAGCTCAAATTTTTGTGAAGAAGTTAAGGCTACTTTTTATGTCACTCTAGATCCAACTTAAACATATATTTTAATCGAAGCTAATAAGACCAAGATGGCGTGGCCTTTTGTGTGGTCGCAGTCTCCTTTCGTTGTAAACTAGTGGTTTGACCTTGTTTTCGCAACTTAGTCATATTGGTTGGAAGACTTAGAGGAAGGCACCTAGTCTGGAGTTCATTGTATACATGATAATTTCCAGAGTTGAACAGTAGACGTGGTACATTCCCAGACGTTTCGCCGGCATCGTAGTCAGAATCATCAATGAGTCTTGCCAGTCTTAACACCACACTACAACTTGTCAAAAGGACAAGGGAAGTCGATCCTTTGACCAATTGTCTGGTAAACAATCGTGGTATCTTTCCTTCCATGCCATCCTATCTGTGCTCCACAAAGAAGGAGGACTGCGAAACAATATGGCAGACTCTGATCGACATTCCTAGCACAAAGGTGAACGGGAGTGAGGGAGGTGAGGAGGCCAGTGTAGAGTGTGGAGAGTTTTTATGAAAACAGCTCAAAATGGCACACCATACCACATTCAAATAAGCAAGTAAAAAATTTTGATAGTAAAGGCGTGATATGATGATATTGAATTGGTGATTAGTCCATGAGGGAAGGAGAGATACCACGATTGTTTAGCTGATAATTGTTCAATGGATCAGCTTAATTTGTCTCTCTTGACGAGTTATAGTATGATGCCAAGAATGGCAGGACCTACTGACGACGCCGACTACGATGCCGGCGAAACGTCTGGGAATGTACCACGTCCACTGTCCTATTTGGAAATTATTATGCATACAATGACTCCGGACCAGGTGCGTTCCTCTAAGTATTCCTACCAATATGACCAAGCCGCGAAAACAAGGTCAAACCACTTCTATTGAACATATATTAATAATTAAATTGCCCACAATAAATTATGCCGAAACTTTTATCATTAGTTTCTTTCGAGCCTTCTCATTTAGAACTAATGTCGATTTTATTTGGCCAAAAAATGTTGTCCCCGAAATGCGTTAGTCTTTGTACTAACAAATACTCTTTGCTAGATTTTACATATCTATAATTAAAAATCGCGTTAATATTAGATTCATCTACATAATGGGAGTTTTTCGATTAGGAAAACTTCTGCGATTAATTTAATTTAGGAAGGATGTATTTTGCATTAAAAACTTACCTAACATTTATTTGCAGCTCTACATGTTATTACACTTAAGAAAGACATACACTTAAGAAGTCCAACATATTATTCAGTTCATCACAAGTTGCCTAATGTGATCTCTAAATCCGTATATCTTCCATAATTGCCCCTACTATATAAAAAAGATTTTATGCTGTTTTAGTAATTTCATAGGTTTATATCACATTTGGTTTCCGTCTCTCATGCGTTTCAGCTATTTGGAAATGTCTCCGCTCACTTTTAAGTCCACTTTTGTCCTATACATTTTTCATTTTTGGTAAATTTCTATAGAGCTCATTCAATTACTTGACTAATGCCTCTGCTGAAAATCCCGGTATTATACTTGAAAATCTCTCAACAGATATAGTTTTATGTTCCCATTCCATTATATCTTCTGATTATACTTTTTTTATTGGAATTATTTTCTTAATAATTCAAACACGTTCAGTAAAAAAATAAATGCAAAACTCTGTCTGACCGTATTTTTCACTATAATAAATTCGCAGACATCTCATGAAACCTGTTTTTCTTAGCAAATTTTTAAGGTAACAGCCTCAGGAAGTTGAAAAGAATAACTCCTAACTTTGATGCAATATGAATATTACCTTGGGAAATTATTAAGTTAGTTGTTGTAATTACTAACTGATGAAGAAAATCCGTTCTAAGGTGTTTCATGTCGGTGTTTTTTTTAATGCTTATAGATGCATTACTGGTTTTCTTCTGGAATAATTGTTTGAAATGTTTTGCGGTGACAAACACAAGCTATTTAATGCGGGCTAAGGCATAATAATAAAGATTTAGAGCTAGTCTCTTATGTCACACTTGGAACATTTAAGCAAATCCAAAATGATATATATCCTTAACTTTCGGTTTTTATGAGTAGACATTTTAGACTTCCAGCTATTATATTCTTAACTTTTGATAGAAATATTAATTACAATAGCGCTATACTGGCAATAAGTATATTAAGGGAAAAGATTTCTAACGTGAAATATGTCATATCTTATTTCTTATTTATGGTCGAATATTTTTTCTTCGAAGTGACGTATGGCTAGACAAGTTATTAGATTTGACTGATTTAATGAGTAAGCATTAAAGAGTACGCCTTAAAAGTTATTTTACTTAGGATATTAAGACTATCAGTTGATTCTAAATAAGAACTAGTGATCCTTAATATATAAAACAATGTTTAAATATGAAGAGAAACTTGGTTTAGATGAATCTCCTGAGATAACATTGTTAGGGGGACCTTCATTTCAAACGAAAGTACATGATGAGGAGATTCGTTTGTCGTTCTCACCAGATGAGGACGGATGAAAATCGTTT